GGTTTCCTGTCCGGGGCTATTGTGAACCTCTCGCCTGTCTTTGGTCAATACGTGTGTGTGTCTGCCAGGACATGGGCCCACATGCATTTGGCTACAGCAGACACTGCTCAACCATTTCCCAAAGCCTCATATCCACATACAGTCCCACCAGCAGTGTGCAAGTATTGGCCCACGTTTAAAGGAACACAGGAAGTTGGCTATCTCCCAGGGACAGAGGAGAATGGCACGTGAGAAGCGAGCACAGCATGAGGACTGTCCCTGCCTCAAACCCACAGGGTTCCCTAAGGCCTGGTACCCATGTGGACTCTCCAGGATACAAGTATGGGACCAGCTTTCTGCAGAAAACATGCCAAAGGCCACAGTTCCCATCTCTTTTCTCCTGCCATGGTAAGATACGGCTTTGGCACAACAGCTCCTTTTCCACAGGGAGTAAAAGCCAAAATCCTTCACTGTTCTACGGTCCCCTGACCTGCCTGTGCCCCTCTGTGTCTCTCTGACCTTACCTCCTCCTGGGTCCACTCTGCCCCAATCTGAGGACACTGGGCAGGCACCACCTTGTGGCCTCTGCACTTTCCTCTGCTTGGAAAGCTCTCCCTCCCACCCCCCAGTGCCCACTTGGTTAACCCCCTCCGCTCACTGCAGCTTTTGCTTAAGAACACCTTCTCAGAAAGCCCTCTGCTGACCTCCCCACTTAAGACCACAGACAGCCCTTCTCCCCCACCCAGCCCAGGTCCTCCTCTAACCCCCCTGCCCCCAGTCACAGATGGATTGGTCACACTGCATTGACATGAGTGGTTTCTGTGCCTGCACTGACTCCCGAGGACAACCTCATTGTCTGATCCTCCTCATACCCTCCAGCCCTAGCACAAAGAAGGCTCTTAGAGACGCTGAGCTAAAGATAAGTGGATGCTGTTTTTCTTCCACTGCCACAGGTGCCCTTGTAAACTGCTCCTCTAGTTTTAGCTACATCACTCCCTGTCACTCTAGATGGGCTCTACTCAGTGGCAAGGCTCACTGCTCAGTTCACCTTTGTAGCCACAGCAGCTGGCTCAGGACTTCTGTCTGAGGGCCCACTGGTCAGGGTTTCAAACACCTTTCAAAGAAGGAAGAACCAGCTTTCCTGCCCCGCCTGTGGCTTCACCTCTGTCTCCCGGATCGTGGCTCTGGAGGCAGGTGATGGGCAGTACTTTGGTAGGAAAAGTGCAAGGAAGCCCTGTCAAGCATGCATCATCCTGCTTGGCTATGGGGATTCTTCCTGTGCACACCAGAGCCCACACACCTCTGCAGGAGAGGGGATCTTGGCAGTACTTTGGTAGGAAAAGTGCAAGGAAGCCCTGTCAAGCATGCATCATCCTGCTCGGCTATGGGGATTCTTCCTGTGCACACCAGAGCCCACACACCTCTGCAGGAGAGGGGATCTTGATAAAGTCACCCAGATAGTCCCCTAAAGTCACATTCGACTGGGAACTCCTAGGGGCAGCATCTATAGGGTCAGAACACAGGAGCAAGTGAACCCACACTACTCTGGGTCTCCAGGAGAAATCCACAGCCCTGCAGGGGCCAAGGGCAGGTCCTGGAAGGTGACTGGCCTTGTTCAATGTTCCCATAATACTCGTGGATTTTAGACACAGTCAGAGATGCTCACCTGAGAAACTGGCAAAGAGCCGGCAGAACTGTGAGAACCTGTTGCGGTGCAGCCACTGCTGGGCGTCCTGGATGGAGGCTGACGGGAGCAGGTGCTGCGGGCGGAGAGGAGAGGCCTGAGATGACCGTGCAGAGCCCGCAGAGGGACCGCCAGCCAGAGAGCCACACAAACACTTACGTCACTGCCCACAGGCAGGGCCTCCACCGGGTGGGTTGGGGAGCTGTTGCTGCAAAGGAAAAGGGACAGGTGATGAGGACAGCGGGAGCTACTGGGGATGAAGCAAGGGTCCCGTCTCCCATCACCTAGCCTGGTGCTTTTAAATCCCATCAGGTGTAGGACTTGTTTTAAATGAAATGGGTCCTCAAGAATTTCCTGAGTAAGAGAAACATCAGCAGGAGCCAATGCTAATCCCTCAAAATCCTTAATTAACCCTTCAGCGTAAACATGAAGTTCTGATAGGCTGCACTGCCCTGGCCAACGATAACCCTCTACCCAAGAAGCCAGCGGCAACAACCGAGACCCCCTGATGATCTCCCTCTCCTCAGTTTCCAGCCCAGGGGAGGGGAAGACTGACCCCCTGGTCAGCCCTCCTCCATCTAACTGAGCACCTGGGAAGTACGGCCAAACCAAAAGGCCACCAACCAAACACTCTTCTACATGGTGACAGGAGAGGGCAGAGGAATACCACAGGGCATTACTTTGCAGTAACTAAGCACCCATGGCTTGGCATCCATCCAAATGTTTACAGAGTGCTGGGCACTGCACACATGTTCCTCCCAATCCTGTGTGGAATTCTCACTGAGGCTCAGGAAGGTTAAGGAAGCTACCCCCAAAAGGTATAGATTTAAGGCTACAGCTGCCTACCTCTAAATATGACACCCCACCCCCACCTCAGGAGGACACTTCACCTTGGTAAAATCGAGTTCACGGACAAGTTTTTCAGAACAGTTCTCTGTCTGCTAAGCAAGGGCTCCGAGGAACCTGGAAGCACAAACCACGCTCTCCCTGCCTCCATCCCTGCTCCCCCAACAAGACATGCAGAGCCATCATGGTGATGCCATGGACCCACTGATGCCATGGGCCCCGTGCTGCCTGCGCTCCTGTGCTGTCCTATCACCTCATCTGCAGAGTCCACATAGCCTGTGCGCATTTGCAGAGCTGGGCGGGCAGCAGTGAGACCAGCTTCTGTATTACAAGCCCTGAAACCCAGGGTGAGGAAGGTCCTAACCTGACCCAGGCTGCTCAGTGGATGTGCACAGGAGCTGGACAAAGTGCTAAGAAAGCCCCACCCGGCTGCACAGTTGCCCAAATAGCCACTCCAGAAAGCCTCACTGTCTAGGAGGGCCATTCTGCCCCAGAGAGCTCCTGAGACCATCTCAGCAGGCTGTCCTCATGTCCCTACAGGCCAGCCGGTTTTACTAGAGAAGAGGGTTGGTAAGCTCTGGGCAGCTGCCCCACCAGACAACATTTACAAAGTGTTTCCAAGCACAAAAAGCTGTACAAATGCTAAAAATGGTTGTAATTGCAACACCAGTTGGCCACATTAAAACCCAAATAGACGCCCAGAAAGACCCAGAGGGGAAGATCAAGAAAGGAACCTATGCCCATCTTCATTCTAGAGAACCCAAAGGGAGAAAGGTGGGACATACCCTTCGCCGAGGCCAAAGCTGTTTGGAGAGCCATTGTAGCTTGGGGATGGGGCGCTGTTCACCTGGTAGGCCACGTCAGGCCACGGAGAACACTGTGGGAGAGGAGCACAGGGCAGCATGACTCAAGAGCAGTGGTCCTAGGGGGAGCTGGAAGCCACGGAGGTGCTGAACATGATCCTCGGCCTTCAAGCAAGCTTCATCATCACAACGATGCATAACACCCCTAGCCCCTGACCCATCAATACACAGCCCATGTCTACCTGGTGCCCACAAGGAGCCACAGATAGGCAGGTAACTAGGGCCACATCAAGAAAACCAAATACAACAGATAAGAGACCTAACATTCAGTAAATCATCCCCAGAGCAAGCACTGTGTCACCCTGAGCTTCCCAGTGGTCAAACCAAAAAGAGAAACATCACAGTCATGAGATTCCTGGGTCCACAAGAAAAGGGAGAGAAAAACAAAACAAGCCAGGTGCTCAGAAGCAGCTTTTCCTGGAACAGACACACGTGTGTAACGCATGTCACAGGGAGCACTGAACCACAGGAAACTTCCAACTAAAAGTAACCAGTAAAATTCAGCATTAAAACCTGCACTATTTGGGGCCGGCCTGGTGGTGCACTGGAGAGTGCGCCGCTTGGGAGTGTGGCGGCGCGCCCGCTGAGGGTTCGGATCCCATGTGGAGACCGGTTCCCGCTCACTGGCTGGGCGCGGTGCAGGCGCAACACCGAGGGTTGCGATCCCGTTACCGGTCAGTCAAAAAGACAAAAAAAAAAAAAACCTGCACTATTTGAAAAAATAACCAGCTGACCAGGGCCTCGGCGGGCATGTTACCGGTCAGTCAAAAAGACAAAAAAAAAAAAAAAAACCTGCACTATTTGAAAAAATAACCAGCTGACCAGGGCCTCGGCGGGCAGGAGAGGCACTTTCCCAAACACCAAGAGCAACTCCTCTCAACACAATTCTATGCATGTTTATTAGAGTATAGATGCAGATAGGTTGGTACATTCATGCTGGAAAGAGGTGGTAAATCTCTTTTGTTTGCTTCTGTTTTTTTAGTGAGGTCATTTGAGAGTGAGTGGGGATGATGCTACGGGAGACACAGAAACACAAATGATGTGATCCTTGTCCTCATGGAATGTCTGGAAGCAAAAACCAAAAATGAACACATATGGGACTCTCCCAAAGAAAGCAGAGACATACAGGTTTTACCTGCTGGGGGATGTCGGCAGACAAAGTATTCATTTCTTCCATTCCCTTCAATGACACCTCTCTGGAAAGGGCCAACTTGAAGCATTCCTGAAGATTTACTGTCACCCACCAAACCACAGGACTGGTAAATATTTAACTCTGCTATGAGCATGGGCTGGAATTTGTTGTTGCTAAATCCTACAGCCCAAGGAAGAAAGTTGATGAGCTGATAGAAGGGAGCGACGTCACCTGCCAAGGTCACAGGCCAGGTGGGTCTTTCCACTAACTGCACAAGATAAGCTATTAAGTGAAAAGCTCAAGGCACAGAACTGTGTCCGCAGCTGGTATACAAAAGCGGGCATGGGGAAAACATGTAGAAATTCACTTCACATGCATGGACGGCTGGACCGATACACAAGGACCTTGAGACACCAGTTGTCCTGGGGGAGAACCTAAGGCTGAGACAGTGTTGGGAGGGTATTTTCTGTTGTATACTTTCTTGGAGCTTCTGAATTTTGAACGATGTGACTATATTACCTATTTATAAAAAAAAAAAAAAAAACACCCTGATTTTGAAAAGCGCAAATGCATTCAAAGGCAGCAAAGAGCTTGAAGTTATTTCTAAACACCTCCCCAGCCACCAGGTCTTATCAGATGAACACCAGCCCCAGACACAGGGAACATGCCACAACTGAATGGGCACTCTCAAAAGTACTCACACAAGATGGGCACTTTTCCAAGAATCTAAACCAACAGCCTGCTCGGCGTGGAAGGCCCTGGGAAGCTCGGCCCGGGACCAGCAGGCTCACCTCTGTAAGGATGGTGGTTTCGTAGGACGGCTGGTACTTCTCCTTCTCTTGGGCGGTTCTTTTCTCCATCTTCTCCCGATCAGTCTTCTGTTTCCGGTCAGCTCCCTTTGGCTGCAAGTGCAGAGCACAGGGTCCAATTAGTCCAACACAGGCAAAGGCGGCTGTTGGAAGAAGACCAAGGCTGAGCAGCAGCTCCCCAAGGCCCGCATGCTCCCTGCCCCACCTGGAGCCCCAGAAGCACAGGCAAGATCGCACAGGCAGGACAGCACGCCTCTCCCCTCCCAGTCTTCAAGCACACAGTACTTTTGCCTGGACTACTTCCCCACCTGAGGTAACTCAGAGCCTGCTGTGGGTCCTGCTACTTGGCTGCTCACAGGGAAATGCTAGGAAAAGATCGTTACCAATGGCCACTTGCTTCTGGATAGGAACCCTCAGAGCCACAACAAATCCCAGTGCATTCCTGGGGTTACCCATGGAGAGCAAAGGGAAGGAGGAGGAGGGGCTGCTGGCCAGGGGTTCTTCTACTCCTGCAGGATGTGAAATCCCAGCCATCTGCTGAAAGCCTCCTTCCCCCAACACCTAAGACGCCTGACAAGCTCCCAGCTTTCACGCCACATGCAGATTAATGTCTCTGCCTGACATAAGTTACAGAGGAAGCGGCTGCCAATCCTGGGCACCCAGCAAACCTGAGCAACTTACCAAGGGCAACCTGGCCTCACAGCTACTATTATCCCCTTTGTTTATGGATTAGGAAACTGAGGCTCAAGTGATTCATCAGGACTGGAGAGGAAGCAAGTGCTGACTAGGCACGAGGGTCCAAGTGAGAGTGCCCAGATGTGCAGCACCACAGGCTGCCCCGGCAGGCCCCACTGGGGACCTTCCCACCCCCCTTGGGCATCACCTGCCATAGTTCACGTCCTGCACTCATGGCCCAGTCAGCAAGTGCAGACACAGACTCCGCACAGCCCTAGACTGAGCAGTCTCACAACATACACAGTAGGCTACGCATGGCGGGTGGGCAATGAAAACAGTGGCTCAAGTTCAAGGGCATCCTCAGGGATTTTTGACTCCACTGTGCGCCTTCCTCAGGCTCCCAATTCAAGGGTCTTTAAGAAAGTACCCCCCAGTGTGAACCCAGCCCTGGACAGAGGCTGGGCTGCAAGGAGTCACATGGGGACACAGTAAGAGATCCAGCATTTGGTGTGACAGCGAGGCATGGGTCCGGGTGTGTGGCAGCCATACCCCAGTGACCTGGCCCTTCCTGCTCCACCTCTGGCTCCTGTCCCTCACAGGAGGCCTTCCTCCCTACCCTGAACCACAGGCAAGGCAAGGTCACAGCCAGCCCATCCCAAGCCTGTATGCAGGCACAGCATTCAGCCTCAGTGAGCCCTGCAGGAGCCAACTGGCCAGAGAGAGGACCATCTTTCCTTTCAGAGATCCTGACACCTCATGCAGAGCCCCAGGGTACAGCCCCAGCAAGCGGGACTCCCAGTTACTGAGTTGGGTGACTGGGGAGGGAGAGGTGACAGACAGTCTGGCCTGGCTTGTGCATAACTGTTCCATCTGCTTCTGGGAACGGGGTCGGAGGTGTGGATGCACACACCTCCTCAGGCATTCCGAGGAGACAGTTCCGGGAGAGTGGGGGGGGAGGGAGAGGTGACAGACAGTCTGGCCTGGCTTGTGCATAACTGTTCCATCTGCTTCTGGGAATGGGGGCGGAGGTGTGGATGCACACACCTCCTCAGGCATTCCGAGGAGACAGTTCCGGGAGAGTGGGGCACCTACCCCCCAGCAGGAGATGCCAAGGCCTTCCCGAGGTCAATCGGACAGGGCAGTGTCCAGCCTAAGTCCCCAAGCAATGCCCGGTATGTGGCTGGGGAGCCTGGTGGACAGAGCCCTCACTCCTGAACTTCTGACTCCAGGTGCAGAAAGGGAAGCTAGTGGGGGGCCTCAGGAAGGATGGGGTGCCCCATGGGGGTAGAAACCCCTCCCCATCTCTCTCCTACTGCCCAGCACGGCATCTCATTCCCAGGGCATGTGCCGTGAAAGCAGTGGGATTAAACTGACATCACTGGACAAGGAAGGGAAAGGCTACCTGAGGTGGAGATGGCCAGAGGGACCATGGATGTGGCCTGCACATGACAGGCAGGGGGTGACCAGAGCAACGAGCCATAGGCCAGGCAAAGGCCACAGGCCAGGCACTCATGGCAACATCCAGGGTGGACCAGAAGCACCAGATCCCAGAGTGGGCAGAAAGACCAGAGGCTGCAGTGCCACTGCACAGGTGGACCTGGTCAGCAGAATAATGGTCCCCAACGGTGGTCCTAACCCCCAGAACCTGTAGATATGGTACCTTACTTGGCAAATGGGAAATTCAGGTTTCAGATGGAATTAAGATTGCTAATTAACTGCCATCAAAGTAGGAAGATTATCCTGCATTACTTGGGTGGATCCAGTGTAATCACAGGGCCCTTAAAAATGGAAGCGGGAGAGAGAGAAGGTCAAAGAGGTGTGAGAAGACTCAACCCTTCTTCCTGGCTCTGAAGATAAAGGGAGGGGCCAGGAGGCACAGAATGGGACCAACCACCTCTAGAAGCTGGGAAAGGCAGGAAACAGAGCCACCCCGAGACCTCCAGACAGGAAAGTAGCCCCACTGATGCCTTCAGCCCAGGGAGACCCACTTCAGACTTCCAACCGCCAGCACTGTAAGACAATAAATGTGTGCAGTTTTAAGTCACTAAATTCGTGATAATTTATCATAGCAGCAATAGGAATCAAATACAGTCTAGACACAACTTCCTTTGGTGACCTTCCTTTTGAAGCTTTCTAATCTTCAGGCAGGTTTCTGAGGGGTGCCACAGCACTGGCAGGAAGGACAAACATGCCCTCCTACCCCACCTCTCCCTCCCACCCTGGGCTGGCATCACTCACTGACCAAGGCGTCCCCACCCATTGTGCCTGGCCAGGGCCTTAGAACCCTTTGCCTACAGACCTCAGGCAGCCAGTTCCCATTAGTGTAGATGGAAGTGGCAGCCTGCTGTGTGGGCTCCTGATACAGACACCATCAACTTGTCCTCCGCTCTCCTACAGCTGCTGTGACAGGCGCATGCCCCAAGTCACTGCCAAGTGCTCACTGTGCACTAGGCATATTCCCTGTCTTCAGGGGCTGCTCATCTAGTCAGGAAACAGGACACCAGGTTTATGGTTCCACCTGTGGGTATTTATTTTTACATCCATCCCCAGCTCAGGAAGATTAACGCTGACCCAGCTTCCTCTCTAACGAGGCCCTGTCTGAAGCCACGCACTCTTGGATCTCCAGCCCCGGCTGATGACACTTTTTCAGCAGCTTCTAACAGTGAAAGAAGGGACTGATGGGACAGGCACTGGGGCTGGTTACTCAAGGCCAATTCCTGCCCAGCAGGTGGGTCCACTCCCCCTCCACAGGCACCTGCTGGAGTCACCCAGGCTGACGGGGCAGGGCAGGGCCTGCAGAATCAGGGCCTGCTGCAGACAGGCCACCCTCCTTCCCTGAGAACCTCGCAGGCTCTGCTGCAGCCCCCATCTCCCAAGGCCACACGGGATGGCGAGCTGGATGGCTGGCTACCATCCTCAGGAAATAATCAGTCCAGCTTGATGAGATGAAAACAGTGGCAGGCGACTGCAGGGGATGAGGCAAGAAAGAAAAAGAGAGGAGGTCCCTCCAAAAATGTTTCTTTCTCCAACAAGAAGCCACTGCAGAGAGAAAAATGGCCTCTGCCCTAAACAGGAAGATCCTGAGGCCAGTCCCCCAGCGGCATGGCCTCCTGACTTGATTTTGAAGGAGAATTTAAATTGAGCACCTGTGTGCAACTATAAAGTGCCTGGAAGGAAAAAATATTAAAATGTGCCAATCCAATCATTCTTATAACGTAGAACAGATGACTGACATCTGGGAATCCCAGCGCTTCTGATGAAAGCTAAGCAGGTGCCACAGGTGAAAGGACACTGCAGCAGGGTATGGCAGGCCCAGGCCTGTCATCCCCACACATGCAGGTCACACTCATTAGGAACAGGTAGTAGCCCTGGGCTAAAGGATGCTGCACTCCATGCTGGGCCTCTAGGAGGAATCGCAAAGGTCACCCAGTGCTGTCACCACAGGCAGGCATGACCACAGGCCAGATGAGGGGCAGGGCAGAGTGCAGCGAGGCCATCCTACCTTGAACACCTTGATCTGGCAGCTGGCCGAGTGCAAGTGCTCCGTGTACTCCCCATTCTCATTCTGTTTGAATGTGTCGATCTGCACTCGGAAAGGCACCCCCTTTTCGCCCCCGTGCTTCCTTGGGGTGAATTCTGTGCTGATACAGTGCACCTGGAAGGGAAAACACTGGACAGGTAGCAAGGTGGGGTGCGGGCGGCGTCCAGACTCCCAAGCGCTCCTCTCCCCGGAGGTTTCCATCCCTGCTCACGAATGCAGACCTGCCCCAACCTCCCAGCTCTCCCTGACACTCCGTCCACTCCATCAGGCTGATGGCTCCCTGTTCCACTGCCCTCTCATGCGGGCGGCGTCCAGACTCCCAAGCGCTCCTCTCCCCGGAGGTTTCCATCCCTGCTCACGAATGCAGACCTGCCCCGACCTCCCGGCTCTCCCTGACACTCCGTCCACTCCATCAGGCTGATGGCTCCCTGTTCCACTGCCCTCTCACTTTTGCCTCTCTACTTTGTAGGCCCTGCCTGACCAGCTAAGTCCTCGCCACTATTCCAGGCCACCGACCTCACCCTCGCTCCTCACCCACAGACCTCTCCTTTGGCAAATCCTACAGACTTCAGGGCAGGGACCACAGCATCACCCTAACCCCTCTCAAAATGATGAGGCCAGGCAGCAGCATAACCAGAAGGCTGGAACCATTTCTATATTTCTGGTTAGTACCTGCTACGTAGAAGGCGCCCAATATATATTTATTGTTATAATACTGCACTCATGTTATAATTATACAATATATGTTATTGTAATAATACAATAACACTGTAATAATGATTTAAATACAATAACACTATTGTAATTATAAAAAAAGATAAGGTTGCTAAGTTTTACTGAGTGATTCCTGTGACCATGCACTGTGTTAACAGCTTTTTATTCATTATCTGATTAATAAGGGGGGGGGGACTAAGAGGCTCAAAAAGGGGGAGGAATTTAAGCCTTCCAGAAGGACAAAAATTTTTAATTTAAATTTTAGAAAATGGGGGAGGGGAGGAAACTTGCTCAAGGACACACATTGAGTGAGGGAACCAGATTGCCTCCTCCTCCTACATGGTTACAACATGGGATGGGACCCAAACCAGGTTCTTAATAATGAAATAATTCATTCAATAACAGAAACTACACTAAAAAAAATTTCNAAAAAAAAAAAAAACCTGCACTATTTGAAAAAATAACCAGCTGACCAGGGCCTCGGCGGGCAGGAGAGGCACTTTCCCAAACACCAAGAGCAACTCCTCTCAACACAATTCTATGCATGTTTATTATGTTTCAGGCATCCTGCTAGTGCTACGGGAGACACAGAAACACAAATGATGTGATCCTTGTCCTCATGGAATGTCTGGAAGCAAAAACCAAAAATGAACACACATGGGACTCTCCCAAAGAAAGCAGAGACATACAGGTTTTACCTGCTGGGGGATGTCGGCAGACAAAGTATTCATTTCTTCCATTCTCTTCAATGACACCTCTCTGGAAAGGGCCAACTTGAAGCATTCCTGAAGATTTACTGTCACCCACCAAACCACAGGACTGGTAAATATTTAACTCTGCTATGAGCATGGGCTGGAATTTGTTGTTGCTAAATCCTACAGCCCAAGGAAGAAAGTTGATGAGCTGATAGAAGGGAGCGACGTCACCTGCCAAGGTCACAGGCCAGGTGGGTCTTTCCACTAACTGCACTGCACCGGCTCAAGGGTAGGACAGCTACTGCATGAAGTTTACCAGAACCTCTCCTCTGCCACGGAAGTCAAGAAAAGAGTAGAGAGATTGAGGCTCAGCCAGGATGAGAAAGGTGTCACCAGGTAGGGGACACTCTAGGCAGTGTCAACAGCACAGGCTTGGACCAGGCATGGGAAGAAACTGGTCTCAGTTGTAATCTATAAAATGCAGTCCTGGCACCCTGCCACTCCTTTGCTAGCCAAGGGTGGGGCAGGGCTGTCCCACACCAGGGCTCTCTGGCCACCTTTATCCTCAGTCAGATAAAATGCCACTACACATCTGTCTAAACCACAAAATTAGCTTTTATATTGTCATATTGCAAATACTCTTCTGCATATGGCTTCTTATTCATGCACACAAGCACACACACAGCTCATTAGCCAGGACTGGACCTCCATTCCCTTAGATGCTCTGTGCCCGGGCCTCACCCATAACACAGTCTCAACCCCACCATGGCCAGCACAGGCCTCATACATGCGTAGAGGGCCTTCTGAGTAAGTCCAGTTATTACTCAATGAACAAACACCAACACCAATTAATTGGCCCAAATGCAGAACAACATGAAACAGTTGTCCAAAAAAACCCAGAGACCAGTACAGTAAAAGAGGAGGTGCTGGCTGTGAACCGTAATGAGAAGAAGAGGAGCCTCTGACAGCAAGCACTTCAGAAGCACCCCTGGATATAAGGATAGTTGGAGCAGGCTGGCTTCGGAGTCAGGATTAAGAGGAAATGAGTTCCAGTACCGATCCAGTACTGACCCAGTGACCTGGCTCTGAGAATGGAACCCTGCAGATACCCTTCCCATGCACTGTTATTCACCACACCACTGCCTGAGATGTCAGGAGCCGGAAACAACCACATGTCCACCAGCAGCCATCCACACACAAACGCCACACAGCTGGACAAGGGACTAGAAAGCTCTTTACAATGGGAACAGGTGACAAGATAAGCTATTAAGTGAAAAGCTCAAGGCACAGAACTGTGTCCGCAGCTGGTATACAAAAGCGGGCATGGGGAAAACATGTAGAAATTCACTTCACATGCATGGACGGCTGGACCGATACACAAGGACCTTGAGACACCAGTTGTCCTGGGGGAGAACCTAAGGCTGAGACAGTGTTGGGAGGGTATTTTCTGTTGTATACTTTCTTGGAGCTTCTGAATTTTGAACGATGTGACTATATTACCTATTTATAAAAAAAAAAAAAAAAACCACCTGATTTTGAAAAGCGCAAATGCATTCAAAGGCAGCAAAGAGCTTGAAGTTATTTCTAAACACCTCCCCAGCCACCAGGTCTTATCAGATGAACACCAGCCCCAGACACAGGGAACATGCCACAACTGAATGGGCACTCTCAAAAGTACTCACACAAGATGGGCACTTTTCCAAGAATCTAAACCAACAGCCTGCTCGGCGTGGAAGGCCCTGGGAAGCTCGGCCCGGGACCAGCAGGCTCACCTCTGTAAGGATGGTGGTTTCGTAGGACGGCTGGTACTTCTCCTTCTCTTGGGCGGTTCTTTTCTCCATCTTCTCCCGATCAGTCTTCTGTTTCCGGTCAGCTCCCTTTGGCTGCAAGTGCAGAGCACAGGGTCCAATTAGTCCAACACAGGCAAAGGCGGCTGTTGGAAGAAGACCAAGGCTGAGCAGCAGCTCCCCAAGGCCCGCATGCTCCCTGCCCCACCTGGAGCCCCAGAAGCACAGGCAAGATCGCACAGGCAGGACAGCACGCCTCTCCCCTCCCAGTCTTCAAGCACACAGTACTTTTGCCTGGACTACTTCCCCACCTGAGGTAACTCAGAGCCTGCTGTGGGTCCTGCTACTTGGCTGCTCACAGGGAAATGCTAGGAAAAGATCGTTACCAATGGCCACTTGCTTCTGGATAGGAACCCTCAGAGCCACAACAAATCCCAGTGCATTCCTGGGGTTACCCATGGAGAGCAAAGGGAAGGAGGAGGAGGGGCTGCTGGCCAGGGGTTCTTCTACTCCTGCAGGCTGTGAAATCCCAGCCATCTGCTGAAAGCCTCCTTCCCCCAACACCTAAGACGCCTGACAAGCTCCCAGCTTTCACGCCACATGCAGATTAATGTCTCTGCCTGACATAAGTTACAGAGGAAGCGGCTGCCAATCCTGGGCACCCAGCAAACCTGAGCAACTTACCAAGGGCAACCTGGCCTCACAGCTACTATTATCCCCTTTGTTTATGGATTAGGAAACTGAGGCTCAAGTGATTCATCAGGACTGGAGAGGAAGCAAGTGCTGACTAGGCACGAGGGTCCAAGTGAGAGTGCCCAGATGTGCAGCACCACAGGCTGCCCCGGCAGGCCCCACTGGGGACCTTCCCACCCCCCTTGGGCATCACCTGCCATAGTTCACGTCCTGCACTCATGGCCCAGTCAGCAAGTGCAGACACAGACTCCGCACAGCCCTAGACTGAGCAGTCTCACAACATACACAGTAGGCTATGCATGGCGGGTGGGCAATGAAAACAGTGGCTCAAGTTCAAGGGCATCCTCAGGGATTTTTGACTCCACTGTGCGCCTTCCTCAGGCTCCCAATTCAAGGGTCTTTAAGAAAGTACCCCCCAGTGTGAACCCAGCCCTGGACAGAGGCTGGGCTGCAAGGAGTCACATGGGGACACAGTAAGAGATCCAGCATTTGGTGTGACAGCGAGGCATGGGTCCGGGTGTGTGGCAGCCATACCCCAGTGACCTGGCCCTTCCTGCTCCACCTCTGGCTCCTGTCCCTCACAGGAGGCCTTCCTCCCTACCCTGAACCACAGGCAAGGCAAGGTCACAGCCAGCCCATCCCAAGCCTGTATGCAGGCACAGCATTCAGCCTCAGTGAGCCCTGCAGGAGCCAACTGGCCAGAGAGAGGACCATCTTTCCTTTCAGAGATCCTGACACCTCATGCAGAGCCCCAGGGTACAGCCCCAGCAAGCGGGACTCCCAGTTACTGAGTTGGGTGACTCGGGAGGGAGAGGTGACAGACAGTCTGGCCTGGCTTGTGCATAACTGTTCCATCTGCTTCTGGGAACGGGGTCGGAGGTGTGGATGCACACACCTCCTCAGGCATTCCGAGGAGACAGTTCCGGGAGAGTGGGGCACCTACCCCCCAGCAGGAGATGCCAAGGCCTTCCCGAGGTCAATCGGACAGGGCAGTGTCCAGCCTAAGTCCCCAAGCAATGCCCGGTATGTGGCTGGGGAGCCTGGTGGACAGAGCCCTCACTCCTGAACTTCTGACTCCAGGTGCAGAAAGGGAAGCTAGTGGGGGGCCTCAGGAAGGATGGGGTGCCCCATGGGGGTAGAAACCCCTCCCCATCTCTCTCCTACTGCCCAGCACGGCATCTCATTCCCAGGGCATGTGCCGTGAAAGCAGTGGGATTAAACTGACATCACTGGACAAGGAAGGGAAAGGCTACCTGAGGTGGAGATGGCCAGAGGGACCATGGATGTGGCCTGCACATGACAGGCAGGGGGTGACCAGAGCAACGAGCCATAGGCCAGGCAAAGGCCACAGGCCAGGCACTCATGGCAACATCCAGGGTGGACCAGAAGCACCAGATCCCAGAGTGGGCAGAAAGACCAGAGGCTGCAGTGCCACTGCACAGGTGGACCTGGTCAGCAGAATAATGGTCCCCAACGGTGGTCCTAACCCCCAGAACCTGTAGATATGGTACCTTACTTGGCAAATGGGAAATTCAGGTTTCAGATGGAATTAAGATTGCTAATTAACTGCCATCAAAGTAGGAAGATTATCCTGCATTACTTGGGTGGATCCAGTGTAATCACAGGGCCCTTAAAAATGGAAGCGGGAGAGAGAGAAGGTCAAAGAGGTGTGAGAAGACTCAACCCTTCTTCCTGGCTCTGAAGATAAAGGGAGGGGCCAGGAGGCACAGAATGGGACCAACCACCTCTAGAAGCTGGGAAAGGCAGGAAACAGAGCCACCCCGAGACCTCCAGACAGGAAAGTAGCCCCACTGATGCCTTCAGCCCAGGGAGACCCACTTCAGACTTCCAACCGCCAGCACTGTAAGACAATAAATGTGTGCAGTTTTAAGTCACTAAATTCGTGATAATTTATCATAGCAGCAATAGGAATCAAATACAGTCTAGACACAACTTCCTTTGGTGACCTTCCTTTTGAAGCTTTCTAATCTTCAGGCAGGTTTCTGAGGGGTGCCACAGCACTGGCAGGAAGGACAAACATGCCCTCCTACCCCACCTCTCCCTCCCACCCTGGGCTGGCATCACTCACTGACCAAGGCGTCCCCACCCATTGTGCCTGGCCAGGGCCTTAGAACCCTTTGCCTACAGACCTCAGGCAGCCAGTTCCCATTAGTGTAGATGGAAGTGGCAGCCTGCTGTGTGGGCTCCTGATACAGACACCATCAACTTGTCCTCCGCTCTCCTACAGCTGCTGTGACAGGCGCATGCCCCAAGTCACTGCCAAGTGCTCACTGTGCACTAGGCATATTCCCTGTCTTCAGGGGCTGCTCATCTAGTCAGGAAACAGGACACCAGGTTTATGGTTCCACCTGTGGGTATTTATTTTTACATCCATCCCCAGCTCAGGAAGATTAACGCTGACCCAGCTTCCTCTCTAACGAGGCCCTGTCTGAAGCCACGCACTCTTGGATCTCCAGCCCCGGCTGATGACACTTTTTCAGCAGCTTCTAACAGTGAAAGAAGGGACTGATGGGACAGGCACTGGGGCTGGTTACTCAAGGCCAATTCCTGCCCAGCAGGTGGGTCCACTCCCCCTCCACAGGCACCTGCTGGAGTCACCCAGGCTGACGGGGCAGGGCAGGGCCTGCAGAATCAGGGCCTGCTGCAGACAGGCCACCCTCCTTCCCTGAGAACCTCGCAGGCTCTGCTGCAGCCCCCATCTCCCAAGGCCACACGGGATGGCGAGCTGGATGGCTGGCTACCATCCTCAGGAAATAATCAGTCCAGCTTGATGAGATGAAAACAGTGGCAGGCGACTGCAGGGGATGAGGCAAGAAAGAAAAAGAGAGGAGGTCCCTCCAAAAATGTTTCTTTCTCCAACAAGAAGCCACTGCAGAGAGAAAAATGGCCTCTGCCCTAAACAGGAAGATCCTGAGGCCAGTCCCCCAGCGGCATGGCCTCCTGACTTGATTTTGAAGGAGAATTTAAATTGAGCACCTGTGTGCAACTATAAAGTGCCTGGAAGGAAAAAATATTAAAATGTGCCAATCCAATCATTCTTATAACGTAGAACAGATGACTGACATCTGGGAATCCCAGCGCTTCTGATGAAAGCTGAGCAGGTGCCACAGGTGAAAGGACACTGCAGCAGGGTATGGCAGGCCCAGGCCTGTCATCCCCACACATGCAGGTCACACTCATTAGGAACAGGTAGTAGCCCTGGGCTAAAGGATGCTGCACTCCATGCTGGGCCTCTAGGAGGAATCGCAAAGGTCACCCAGTGCTGTCACCACAGGCAGGCATGACCACAGGCCAGATGAGGGGCAGGGCAGAGTGCAGCGAGGCCATCCTACCTTGAACACCTTGATCTGGCAGCTGGCCGAGTGCAAGTGCTCCGTGTACTCCCCATTCTCATTCTGTTTGAATGTGTCGATCTGCACTCGGAAAGGCACCCCCTTTTCGCCCCCGTGCTTCCTTGGGGTGAATTCTGTGCTGATACAGTGCACCTGGAAGGGAAAACACTGGACAGGTAGCAAGGTGGGGTGCGGGCGGCGTCCAGACTCCCAAGCGCTCCTCTCCCCGGAGGTTTCCATCCCTGCTCACGAATGCAGACCTGCCCCAACCTCCCAGCTCTCCCTGACACTCCGTCCACTCCATCAGGCTGATGGCTCCCTGTTCCACTGCCCTCTCACTTTTGCCTCTCTACTTTGTAGGCCCTGCCTGACCAGCTAAGTCCTCGCCACTATTCCAGGCCACCGACCTCACCCTCGCTCCTCACCCACAGACCTCTCCTTTGGCAAATCCTACAGACTTCAGGGCAGGGACCACAGCATCACCCTAACCCCTCTCAAAATGATGAGGCCAGGCAGCAGCATAACCAGAAGGCTGGAACCATTTCTATATTTCTGGTTAGTACCTGCTACGTAGAAGGCGCCCAATATATATTTATTGTTATAATACTGCACTCATGTTATAATTATACAATATATGTTATTGTAATAATACAATAACACTGTAATAATGATTTAAATACAATAACACTATTGTAATTATAAAAAAAGATAAGGTTGCTAAGTTTTACTGAGTGATTCCTGTGACCATGCACTGTGTTAACAGCTTTTTATTCATTATCTGATTAATAAGGGGGGGGGGGGACTAAGAGGCTCAAAAAGGGGGAGGAATTTAAGCCTTCCAGAAGGACAAAAATTTTTAATTTAAATTTTAGAAAATGGGGGAGGGGAGGAAACTTGCTCGAGGACACACATTGAGTGAGGGAACTAGATTGCCTCCTCCTCCTACATGGTTACAACATGGGATGGGACCCACACCAGGTTCTTAATAATGAAATAATTCATTCAATAACAGAAACTACACTAAAAAAAATTTCACTTTCAAATTATTTATGCTAGGAAATACTTATTTTTAAATAGCTTAGGACTGGACAGTTAGCTCGGTTGGTTAAGGTGCAGTGTTATAACACCAAGGTCAAGGGTTTGAATCCCCCTACTGGCCACCCACCAAAAAATAAAAATTAAAAAAATTAACAAAAAAGGGCTTACATATTCTATAAGCAAAACCCAAACAGAATTTCAAAACCCTTCAAGTCCTTTTCCCAACCTTGTTGACAAACCAGCTCTGTGACTCTGAGCGACTCTCCTACTTTCTCTCTCTCCTTTGGTCTCCTCCTTCCCCATGACAGGAGCCATCCAGGCTTTCCAGCTGGATTGGTTTTGAGAAACTCACCAGCAGGACCCCAGCGTGGAAGGCAAGCACCCTCCACTCACCTGAATGAATGCAGACGCTCTCTTCGCAGGGTCCCATAAAAACTCGACTGCGTTCAGCTGGGTCGGGCTGGCCCTGGGGTCCAAGATACCAACAGACAGTGGAATATCTGTGCACACACACACACACACAAAAGCGCAATCGTCAGCCTCTCCCAAACACTTAGGGAAGGGACCCTCAGTACAGGTCCAAATTCCTTTACCACAGTTTGAAACACCAACAGCTCTGAAAACTATGTTTTGCATAAACCATTTGACAAAAAGCCTGGCTTGAATCACCATGAAGCTCTCTGAATTCTTCACCCCATTTTGTGTAAACAATCATTTTATTTCACTGCAGAAACATAGTTGTGCACGACTGCCTGTTCGAGGCGTTCCCTATGTTAGGGGTAAAGGCACCCTACTGTCATTCTACTTTCTGAATTCCCAAACCCATCTAGCCCCAAGGGCTGTGGATAAAGGACTGTGGGACGGTACCTAAGCCTCCAATATTCCATTTTTGTTGCCCACCTATCTCTGTGATGCCTGCCCTTCCCTCCCGTCATCACTTATCAGAATCCTTTAAGGTACCACTCTTCCACATAGCCTTCACAGAACTCCCTGATGACAGGCCCTGATGACACGTTCACCTCTGCAAGCTCCCACAGCATTTTACACATGGCAGGAGTGCACTGAAATGTCCTGTCAGCATGGGTCCAGAGGGTGTCCAAAAAGAACCCCACTGTGGACTGAGCACCTTGGCCTTGCCCAGCCAGGGAGACTCACCAATGTCCAGGATCCGGTCCCCGGGCCGGCTCCAGCGCCAGCCCTCCAGCTGCTGGTGCTCTGTATACTGCAGCCGGCGGTCGTGAAAAACCACACGGATGATGCTCTGGCGAAGGAAGGCCGGCAGGGGACACTGAGCGTGGGGGCCAGGAGGGACCTGCCTCCTCTCCCACCTTTCCAGGCCTTTCCAGGCCTTTCCTCCTGGAGTTTTCTTCCCCAGCTCTGGAGTTCCATGCACCACTGCCTCCTCAGAACCCCGATAGCACTAACAACAGTGATGATAATGACTACCGTTCCTTCCAGGACTGTAAATGCTTTACGCACGTGTCATTTACAAACCCTGTTGTGCAGATGAGCAAACTGGAGCTCAAAAGTCCAATGAGTGGCAAAGCCACTTGAATCAAAGTCGCTCTGACCCAGAGCCCATCCATGAGTCCAAGCTGTGCTGGGCTCTCAACGCTGCCGGCCCATCTAATCTCCACTTGGACAACATGCTCCGGAGAACAGGAATGGGGGCCACACCGCAAGGATGAGGGCCAGTGCACCCCTCCTCTCCCTCTGAAGCTTCTCCCCAACTTCCCAGCCGCTCCTGGCCCCCCACCTGCCCCCCAGCAAGCCCAGGTGCTCGGACCCTAACCAGCCCCCCAGGAATGAGAGCGGCCTTGAGAGGCTTACCTTGACATATTTTGTGTTCAGATCTTGAAAGTCTCCCAGCTTCCGATTCTCTAGTAGTCGGATTTCATAAGACTGACCTGGAGGGGGGTTCACAGTGAAATTTCCATTCCTGAGTATTTCCAAATTTGGGGTTCACCCAGCTAGCAACCTTCGCAACACTCTCAATGCCTGGCCAGGTCTCAAGGCCCCAAGGAGCAAAGCAGAGAAGAAAGTCTGTGCCCACTCACTCTCTGGACTGACACCCAGCTGGTCCATCCAGCCTGGTCAGGCCTAGGACACTTCAGGCAATGTACAATGTGACCCTTCCAGAGACAGCACCTCTACAATTTTCAAAGAAGTAGAATCCAAGAAAATACAGCTAGTAGATTAAACTACAGAACACAACTTCACATGTCTTTATAAAGAACTCCCCACCCAAAACACTTGGATGGAGAACACAGCTACTTAAATTCACATTTCAAAGCAAATAACTGACCATACCCTTCCTGGCAGCACGTTTAAAGGAACGAAGAAGTCTGTTAAACATTGTCTCTAATGGCAGAATGAGAAGCATTTTCCCCGGTTAAAAGAATTTCATGTATTTGAAAGGGTGTGGGGATTCTATTCAGGTATATATAACCAGCACAAACTGGTTAAAGAATATAAATGGAAAACAAGATATATCCATAATAACAAAAAACTTTAAAGTGTCTGTGAATAACCTGAAAAAAAACTGCACACATCTTACTGAAAGATAAAATTTAGCTTGAACAAATAAGAGGATACTTCAACAAGTTCATGGGAAAATGGAATTAAATGATAATACAAATCTTTCCGTGAACTTGTTGAAGTACCCTCACAGGATACACCATCTTCCTAGGTGGGAAGACTATACATATATATATCAAATGATGTTAGTATTTCCCAAATTAAATGTGAAACTACAATCCTAAAACACCTAAGCATGTATCACAATTTAATAAAGGATGTTTTATAAATAAGAGAATAAATTATTTAATAATTGGAATTGGTAAATGCGATTAGCTTTTTATGTTTTTTATTTTTAATAATTACAGACTCACAAGAGGTTATAAAAATAGTACAGAAAGGTCCTGAGTATGCCCCAGTGTGGCACCTGGTGTAACTATGGTATATGATCAAAACTGACACAGGCACAATACAATTCACAAAGCTACAGACCGTTTTCGGGTTTTCCTAGGTCTTGCGTGTTCTCTCTCTCTCTCTCTCTCTCTCTCGGATGGTGTATGTATATAGGTCTATGAAAGTTTATCACATATAGAGACTATTTTTTTCAAAGTATAGATCCTCATCTTACAGCAAATATCAAAACAAGTTACCACTGGGAACACAAGAAATCCAATTTCTTGTGGGTGGATGGGTAGGGGAGATGTTAGTCCAAGAATACAAATTTCAGTTCAAAGGAATAAGCTCAAGAGATCCACCGTACAACATGGTGAATACGTTAACACTAGTGTTTTGTGTTCTTGAAATATGCTAAGAGTAGAAGGTAAGTTTTCTCACCACAAAAAGTGATATGTATATGAGATAATGCATGTTAATTAGCTTGATCTAGCCATTCCACAATGTGTACCTATTTCAAAACATCATGTTTTACAAGATAAATATATACGACTTTTTTAAAAAGTCAATTTCTTAAGGTTTTATTTTAACATGAATGACTACTTACTAGACACTCAATAGGGAAAAATGTTCTGAACCTAAAATCAATGGGAAGAAAGGAAATCCAGCTATAGAAAATTGAAAATTATATATGTATGAATGTAAAACACTTAAAGCAAACAAAGTAGGAACAGAAAACCCCATGGTTAACAGCTATTATATAGCTAAAAAATGTAGTTGATTAGAAAAATACTAAGACCCCCCCTATAGTGGGTTGAATGGTATTCCCCAGAAAGATGTCACATCCTATTCCCCAGAACCTGAGAATGTGACCTTATATTTAGAAAAAAACAGTTTTAGCAGATATAATTAAGTTAAGGATTCTGAGATGAGATCATCCTGGATCATCCGGGTGGGTCCTAAATTCAATGACAAGTGTCCTTATAAGAGGAGACATCAAAGGAGGAGTAATGAGGCCACAAGTCAAGGAGTACCAGGAGCCCCCAGAAGAGGCCATCAGAGTCCCAAAAGGAGGGCAGCCCTGCTAGATTTCTGACTTCTAGCCTCCAGAACTGAGAAAAACCTTCTGTTTGTTTTTAAGTCAATGCATTTAGAGTAAGCGCAGCCACAGGAAACAAAT